GAGGGACAACTCTCTCCGTGACTCCCTTGTCCGCTCCACACTCCCCTCCAGCTCCACCACACCCGGCACTTTTCCCTGCAACCGCAGGAAGTGCTACACCTGCCCCCATATCTCCTCCCTCATCCCCATCCCAGGCCCCAAGAAGACTTTCCACATCAAGCAGATATTCACCTGCACATCTGCCAATGTGGTATACTGTATCCACTGTACCCGTTGTGGCCTCCTCTACATCGGGGAAACCAAGCGGAGGCTCAGGGACCACTTTGCAGAACACCTACCCTCGGTTCGCAATAAACAACTGCACCTCCCAGTCGCGAACCATTTCAACTCCCCCTCCCATTCCTCAGACGACATGTCCATCCTGGGCCTCCTGCAGTGCCACAACGATGCCACCCGAAGGTTGCAGGAACAGCAACTCATATTCCGCTTGGGAACCCTGCAGCCCAATGGTATCAATGTGGATTTCACAAGATTTAAAATCTCCCCTCCCCCTACCGCATCCCAAAATCGGTCCAGCTCGTCCCTGCCTCCCTAACCTGTTCTTCCTCCCACCTATCCCCTCCTCCCACCTCAAGCCGCACCTCCATCTCCTACCGACTAACCTCATCCCGCCCCCTTGACCTGTCCGTCCTCCCTGGACTGACCTATCCCCTTCCTAACTCCCCACCTACACTCACCTTTACTGGCCCCATCCCCGTCTCTTCGACCTGTTTGTTTCCTCTCCACCTATCCTTTCCTCTATCCATCTTCTATCCGCCTCCCCCTCTCTCCCCATTTACTTCAGAACCCCCTTCCCCTCCCCCTTTTCTGATGAAGGGTCTAGGCCCGAAACGTCAGCCTCTCTGCTCCTATGATGCTGCTTGGCCTGCTGTGTTCATCCAGCCCTGCACCTTGTTGTCTCGGATTCTCCAGCATCTGCAGTTCCTACTATCTCCACCTGTTGACAACTATAAGTTTTGAATTTTCTTTGTTTTTCGTAACTATTTATATGTAAGCCTAATTATATATTATGTTCAGTGTTTCCCAAATGATCCCTCAGTGAAATATGATGAATTATCCCATTCCCTTCCTCAGAACCAAATCAAGCACTATTTCTATTCTTACCTTACAAGAGGCACATAGATCTAGAAGGTTTTCATGGGCATATATTACAGGGCTAAAGAAATTCCCTACTCTTTTCCTTCTGCAGCATTGTTTTCCTGGTCTATATCAATATGATTAATGTCACCCATTTTCACTCTTCTGTATTTTTTGCAATTTTCCAGAAAATCTTTGTCCCCATACCATTCCTGCTATTTGGGGGTCTGCCTCTGGCAGTAGTTTAGGACTCGACACGTGAGGGTCATAACCTCCTCCATAGCTTCTGAAATACTGACTCAACTCTTTCCTTCCAATGTCATCGGGATAGGCAACAAATGCTGATGAAGCCAATGATGCCGACGTCCCAAACATGAATAAAGAAAGCAACTGCTTCATCTCTGTGCAGCCGTTTTCCCTGTAGCCCTAGTGATTGCTGTCCAAACCACAATTGCCTGAAGGGCTGCCCTTGGCACTGAAACCAAGTTTCAATGTGCCACAGTTCAGAAAGATTCCTGAACTGCCTGCCTCCTCTTATCTTGCTGTGGGGTGGCCACCATTTCAAACATCCACCGCAGGGTTCTCAGCCTCCTGTAGTCCAGCAACAACTCAAGCTCGGAAACTCTGGATTCAGTTTCAGGGAGCTACCTGTGTGATTATCAAGGACAAATAAAACTTCCGTGGTATTCCTGCAATGAACTGGAATTGCAAGCTGCCCCATCGTTGCTTAACAGTATGTCAACTTAATGTTATATCCATGTAACTATTTCAGCATCACCTTAATCCTTTTATTAATTATTTATTATTTGCATACACCCCATTGCAGTTCAACTTGTTCTAATGTTGTTATCTGCTACATGGGTAATTTTAGTTTTATCCACTTAGATTTAATTAGTTACTCCAATGACTTGTTCATAAATTAACAGACGACCTGTTGCAGGCAAACTCTCCATTGGTTAGAGTCATCCCTGGCACACAGGATGATGGTCATGGTTGTTGAAGGTCAGCTATTCCATCTCCAGGACATCTCTGCAGGCATTTGTCAGGGTAGTGTCATATGACCAGCCACCTTCAGCTGCTTCATCAATGACCTTCCCTCCATCAGAGTTGAGGATGTTTGCCAATGATTGCACAATGCTTAACACCATTTGTGACTTCTCAGATACCGAAATAGCCTATGTTTAAACGGAACAAGATCTGGACAATATCCAGGCCCGGGCTGACATTTGGCAAGTAACATTCACGCCACATAGATGCCAGGCTATGAATATATCCAATAAGACACAATCTAACCACTGCCCCTTGACATTCAATGGCATTATTATCACTGAATTGCCCACTATCAACCTTCTTGCAGTTACTATTCACCAGAAACTCAATTAGACTTGCCACATAAACACACAAGAGCAGGTCAGAGGCTAGGAATACTGTGGAGAGTAACTCGCCTCCTGACTCCCCAAAGCCTGTCCACCGTCTCCAAGGCACAAGTCAGGAATGTGATGGAATAGTCCCCACTTCCACAACATTCAAGAAGCTTGACACTATCTGGGACACAGCAGCCCACTTGATTGGCACGCACATTGACAAGCATCCACTCCCTCCACCATTGACGCTCAGTAGCAGTGTGCACTATCTACTAGATGCGCTGCAGAAATTCACCAAAGACCCTTAGATACCCACAACTACTTTCATTATAAGGACAGGGGCAGCATTTATATGGGAATGCCACCACCTGCAAGTTCCCCTCCAAGCAACTCACCATCTTGTGTTTGGTTGGCTCGCCGAGCTGGTTCGTTGTTCCACAGACATGTCATTACCCTGCTGGGTAACATCATCAGTGCAGCCTCCAATGAGGCGCTGTTATTTTTTCCCACCTGTTATTTAAACTCTGGTGTCCGTTGAGCTGGATTACCTCACTTCTGGTTTTCCTTCACAATGGAGTGTGTACAGGGTCTAGCTCTAGGCATTTATTGATGGCTTTCTTAGTGGAGAACCAGGCCTCTAGGAATTCTCGTGCTTGTCTATGCTTCACCTGGGACAGGATCCTGGTGTTGTCCCAATTATTTAAACGGGCAACAACACACTGCAGCAGCACAGAACTACGCCAAGGAGAAGAAGAGTACCTCTTCCAAGTATTCAAAGACAATGGATACCCGAAAAACTGGGTCAGAAGATGCCTATCACATGCACGACACCAGGAAGATAGTACATGCCCCAACACGCTCATCACACTACCTTACATCAGGAACACATCTGAACTGACCATAAGTCTCCTACGACCACTGGGCATCAGAGTAGCACACAAACCCACATCAACCCTTCGCCAACTGCTCATCCGAACCAAAGACCCACTACCGACTATGGACAGGGCCAATGTCATATACAAGATTCTCTGCAGCAACTGTGACAAACACTACATTGGGCAAACAGGAAGGAAATTAACCACAAGAGTACACAAACATCAACTGTCAACAAAAAGACCAATTCTCACTCATCTCCATCCACATGGATAAGGAAAATCACCAATTCGATTGGGACAACACCAGGCTCCTGGGACAGGCAAAGCAGAGACAAACACAGGAATTCCTAGAAACCTGGTTCTCCATTAAGAAAGCCATCAATAAACGCATAGAGCTAGACCCCATATACATTCCATTGTGAAGGAAAACTGGAAGTCAGGTAATCCAGCTCAACGGACCCCGGAGTTTAAATAACAGGCAGGAGAACACAACAGCATTTCATCGGAGGCTGCACTGATGATGTTACCCAGCAGGGTAATGAAACGTCTGCGGAACAATGAACCAGCTTGGCGAGCCAACCAACCACAACATCCACAACCCGAGCCACAAATCTACTCTAAAACCTTAGACACTCACCATCTTGACTTGGAAATATATCACCATTCCTTCACTGTCGCTGGGTCAAAATCCTGGAATTCCCTCCCATCTCAAGGGCAATGGTGGGGGTGTGGGTGTGGGTGGGGGTGGGGTGGGGTGGGGTGGGGGGGGTGGGGAACAATAAATGCTGTCCGCCTGTGATGCCATTGTATTATGAATGAATAAAAGAAAATTAACACCACCTTAATCACCCCTGCTCTGAATTCCTGCTCTCACCAAATTCCCATTCTTTTTAACGATCCGCTCAGCTCTGTGTGTAGCTCTAAAATGGATGTGTTTGCGAAGAAAGAAACGATCATGAATTTTTGTTCTCCATCACTCAGGGTCTGTGTTCCCCATCTGAGGTTAGGGGTAATGGAGTAAAGGTACAATTGGAGTAGAGTGTTTGGCAGCTGATGCAGTTCTAATTCTGAATGCTCCGAGCTTAATATAAAACTGTTTCTGTCCCAAGAACTGTGTATTTCCTTTATTTAGAATTACTTAGGTCCTGTTACATCCTTAAATTCTTCCAACTCTGTGGAATAGTCATGCATCTGAAATATCGACTTGGAAATATTTCTCTCTAGAAGGGCTGGGATGGTAACAGGAGGGTAAATAATCAGGTGGGTTGGCACTGGAGAGATACATGTCCTTTTGCTGCCACTTCACCAATTAAGTTCTGGGGAAAAGTCTAAGAGTGACATTCCTGACCCCTCACTAATCATTGGTCTACTGTCCTGCTTTCCAAACAGGATAACAAAGGTAGCTGCTTTCCTGACTGGGAAAACTGGTGGAATGTCTGCTGGGTTGTTGGTGTTGAGGGTGGGGGTTTGGTTTGCTCCAATCTGGGGACGAATGGGGGCAGAGATGTAAGATCTCTTGCTCTTTAGGACACCTGGCCGCATAGGTCCAGCATAAAGAAGGAAATCCCAGCGGCTCGTTGTATTTCTCTCTTCACCGAAGTTGTCTGGCCTGCTGAGCATTTCCAAAAATAAACAAATTTTCCGATTTTATTTATGCGTGTAACCTGGTCTCTTTCCCACTCAGGTTTGGTCATCTTGGATCCTGAGGAAGTCACATACATTGAGAGCCAGGTGAAAGGAGTCATAGGCCGGTCTGTGGTACTAGAATGTGGCCAGTCTGTGCCTACCATTTACATCTGGGGCTTTACCCAACCCGGCCTCAATGACATTCGGGCCATCCTGTACAATTATGGGATGGGTGCCAAGCTGCAGAAAATGGCTTCCGTGTTTGGAGATATGAAAGTCCTCTCTGACAGTGCAGCCCTGGTGATAGACAACCTACAGCTCGCAGCTGAGGGACGATTCACATGTCAAAGTTTGTACGACACCAACGATGGGGCGAAACTCATCTATGTCTTTATTGATTTAAAAGTCCTGGGTGAGTTATATCTCAATATCATAAGGGGCCTCCAGCGGCCTTTGGAAAAAAAGGAAATTGCAAACTGCTGAACACTTATTGACCATCTATACTATTTACAGAGACAAACTTTAGAAGCATCCATTTGAACGATCTTCCCTTCGGTTCCACCTCCTTCACTGGTTTGCACGCGTAGTGTGAGCATAATAACTATTAACCCTTTACACTACCAGGTATTCATTTAACTCATTGAATGTCACTGTGTAGACATGATGGGCTGAATGGCTTCCTGCTGTGCCACAGCAATTCTATGATGCTATAAAGTGCACGATTTAAATTCTACCACAGGCAGATTGTAAAGTGCAGCCAACTCCCTCCCCATCGACACCCCCCATGGCCTTGTACTGTCGCCAAAGTTGAATTTCACCCCCACCCTCATGACAGCTGGCAGCCACCCTGCGATTAGATGCTTCTGACCTGGAACAGGGTGAGCAGTCTTTCTGCAATTTTGCTTGAAACGTTTTATACAAAGATAGTCAGACTGGAGAAAGCCTACTGCACCATTCAGGGTCTCCTTCACTCAACTACAATGCCTTATGCATCATGAGATGGGCAGATATTGGCAAACAGAAATCCCCAGCTTGTGGTGTGTCAGAGGTTACTTTAATCAGGACTGCAGCAGGCTGGGGTAGAATGCCTACGGTCTTGTGTTGCTAAGTGGTTTGTGTTGCCATGAAACTTGCGACTTGGGTTTTATTCTTAAATTAGAGAAAAGACTATCATTGTCTCTGCTGGTAGTTTGTGGCCTATTTAATAGTTGCCCTATTTAACTACAAATGACTGCTGTGTGACTCTGATTGATAAGTTTCTGCAATCTGCTCTATTTACACATGGTCCTGTTCTCTGTGAGTGCATCTCTCAACAGTACAGACTATTCCTTCCTTTTTTTCTACTCCTTGCACATATCCTGCAATGACACTCGTGCATCATGATAAATACCACCATCTCGTTATCATATCCGGTCTCCTCATAGTAGAGTTTGGAGCTGCCCCTTAATTTTTGCAAATGTATGTACCCAAGGCCAACTAGTGTTTAATTGCTATTGTTGACTGTTTTATATGTGGGTAGATTAATTAAGAGCCTGTGGATACTCTAGTTCTAGTATTTTGTGCTCTGGATGGCTTTTGAACTTGTGTCAAGTGTTCTCTGTATGCTTCTAAAAATGACACAAGCAACTGGGATCATGAGGGGCATGTCCATGACGTGCTTATAAATTACGAGCGATTCAGCCACAGGGTGGGCCATTAAAAGTCAAAGAATCTGATTGACAGGAACGGCGTGTGATAATGTGCCCCAAATTCGTCAACGCTGGAATGGAGGGAGCAGGAGCATTGTCCCTGGTTTAACTGTGAAGGACTATACCAGTCAACAGTAAGGTGTTTCAAAAAAACTTGCATTCAGGCTTGTTCTACGCTGTCCTTGGTAATGCTAGAGGTGTGCGCGATCCCTACATGGAGAGAGACACAAAGTGATCCAAAGATATGCTGTACAAATCAGAATGGGGAGCACACCATGTGGCATCATTGATCAAAGAGTTGGAATGGGAGTGATTGAAGTAAAGGAGGGAGAGAATTAGAATGAGAGATAGTAGGAACTGCAGATGCTGGAGAATCCGAGACAACAAGGTGCAGGGCTGGATGAACACAGCAGGCCAAGCAGCATCATAGGAGCAGAGAGGCTGACGTTTCGGGCCTAGACCCTTCATCAGAAAAGGTATAAAATATGGAATAGACTAGTGGAAATTGACAGAAACTAGTTCCTTGTACCCTCAGCAATGACAAAACAATGGTCATCCACAAAATGATAATGAACTGTTTTGGAAACAAATAGTCTTTAAAAATCCTTTTGAGAAATCACCCAGTGGGACAAACTGCCAAAGGAAATAAACACAGCCCAATCACTTCAAGAGCCATCTTTAAATTATCTCCATTTGTATTTTTTTCTGATAAGGATTGCCATCTAGCAGGTTTAGATAGCACTAACTATATAAATGTTGGAGAAATACATATGTCAGTCCAATTGTTGAATAAGCTAATGTTTTGGAAGGAGTTAATGTGCATCTTGCATTAGCTTCACCCATTTTGCCGATGACTCACACAACCTATGGGTGGACACCAGCAGTTTGACTCTATCTTTTGCAGGGAGTAAGTCTATTGGTACAAATCCCCTAAACTCCTAGCAATTTTGCCTGACCAAATACAGTTGTATTTATTGCTATCATGCAATAAATCGCCATGTTATTTAAGGATAGAATCTCTTCTGCAGAAACTCTATGGTGGTGTATCCTCTAAGACTGGTCACTCAATATCCACAAGACATAGCAAAAGCAAAGGAAGATTTAACGCAGCAGCCTGTACTCAGCTCCATGTACTGATAGAGGTGGCAAACCACCAAGTGGCACTGGTGGTCATGGTCTTGTTATTTCTTATCTCTCACAATATGGGCATCATTGACATTAGACCCTAGACCATTTCAGAGGGCAGTTAAAAGTGTTTCTGATGTTATATGTAGACTTGAATGGGTAAGAGATGACAGATTTCCCTCCTTAAAGGACATGAGTGAACTATACATTCATTTTCTTAGCAAAATGATAGTTTTACAGCAAACATTACCGAGATTTAAACTCCAGATTTATTGATTAAACTTAAATTCAATGAGCTGCAATGATGGAATTTGACCCCATGTCTCACAGAAACATAAACCTGAACCTGTGAATTCTAGCCCCTTGATATTACCAGTCCACTGACATCTGAGGAAATAACCAACTTTTGCCGCAGTGCAGATCTGATCTCTACCACGAGGACATGAAATCCAGCAGAGCCAGAAGAAAAGACAAAGAAAGTGAATGAGGTTACCACTTGAAGAGTATTCCCCCTTTAAGAAGACACAGACAGTGAGTCAGCGGCTGAAGGATGATTACCAACAAACAGAAAGAGACTGCAGCCACCAAGGAAGGGGTCAATAGACAAGTTCAACAATCTAAAGACAAAATCTCATTCAGAAGCTGGTAAGAAGTGCTGGGACAAGGACATGGGATTAGATGAGAAGAATCCACCACAATGAAAAGGTACAAGAGCCCAGAATGGAGGAGCACCTGTGAGAAGCAACTGAAGGCTTCAAGAAGTAAAGTTAGAGATCACATAGGTGCAAGTGAATAACTTTATTAAAAATGGAGCAAAGGCCAAAAGGGTAGATAAGGGAGTGTATAACAGAGTTCTCATCTCTCCTAATGACATTATGTTTCACAAGGCTCAGTTGCAAGGTTCAGTGAAATACTCAAATGAAATATATGTGAGGGTTATTGAGTCAGGAAGATCACAGAATTTACATTGAAAAGGAGCAAATTTAAAGAAATATAGTGAAAAGTCTAACAGTAGAATAACACTTATGAAAAGTTAAAGATTTAAAACTTTAGCTAGGCCACATTTGGAACATGGCGTGCTGTTGTGGTTGCCACAGGAGGATGTGGATGCTTTGGAGAGGGTGCAGAGAAGGTTTACCAGGATGTTAGACAACAAGGTGCAGAGCTGAATGAACACAGCAGGCCAAGCAGCATCATACGAGCAGAAAGGCCGACGTTTCGGGCCTAGACCCTTCATCAGAAAATCCAGGATGTTGCCTGGTCTGGAGGGTTTTGTTATGAGGAGAGGTTAGATAAACTCAGACTGTTTCCACTGGAAAGACAGAGGCTGAGGGATGACCTGATAGAGGTCTACAAAATTGAGAGGCATCGATAGGGTGGATAGTTAGGGGCTTTTTCCTAGGGTGGAAAGGTCAACAAGAGGCATAGATTCAAGGTGAAAGAGGGAAAGTTTAGGAGGGAAGTGCGGTGAAAAATTTTTCACACAGAGTGGTGGGTGCCTGTAACGCACTGCCAGTGGAGGTGGTAGAAGCAGGCACATGAGCAATGTTTAAGGCGTTTCTTAATAGATATATGAATGGGAGTTGAACAGAGGGGTATGAACTGCATGGGGGCAATGAGCAGCGGGTCTAAATAAGGACCGGAATCGACGCAAACTTGGTGGATCGAAGGACCTGTTCCTATGCTGCATTGCTCTTTGTTCTGTATAAAGGCCTCAATAATAAAGTTGTGATTTCAACAGGAAGATTTATAAAAGTTGCAGCCAGAAAGCTAAGATGCTAAGTGTTTTAGCTTGTGAAAGTTGGGAAAATGTCCATTTTACTAGGAAGAAGCAGGAAAGCTCCACCTTGGCTGCAGAAAGTGAAGAATGCCTCACGGGAGAGGGTAACCACCATTCTGATGATTATAAATGGTGGAAAAATCTCTGAAAAATGGTGGAAAACCTAGCTAGCAATACTGAGGTAAAGTATTACAAAGAAATATTTAAAATGTTCAAAAGTAGTAAGTTATTACAGTACAGCCAGTAATATGATTTAAAGTTTTAACAGAATTCTGCACAGGATTACAGAAAAGCAGATTTTATAAAAGATTGGCAAGTGAAGGAAAGGCTGCAACAGAAATATGGTACCTAGTCTAACAAACAGTACAGTAATTTGAAGCAGAATTGATGAATACAATAATGCAATATTAAAGAACAGCAAACGTAATATTGAAATGATACAGTTTATGATACTTTACCACAATAATATTGATCAGTACATTGAGAAGAAATGAGAAAAAAAAACGTACATTAACTCCTAGCAGCTTTAAGGCCAGAGAAGGACCATACAGAACATAAGATTGGACATCATGCTGTCAACAGTCCTCAAGATACAGTTTTGCCTCAAAGCTGAGTATTAAGACTAAAGCTGAGCAAATTAATTCACTACCATATTCAATGGAATCGATTGCAGATGATGTTGTGAACAGACATGTTTGAAGATATTCTAAAAGATTTTGATAATTACTTCAATTTAAGAACAAATCCATTTGGTAATTTCTTCTATTTAAGTACAAATCAATTTCTTGAAGGAGAAAGATTTTGAAGAGTTCAACTCCC